AGGCACTTCTTGACCATACATTGGTGTAGCAAAGTAAAAGACTATATTTGACAAGAACATTGTTTGGTAGAACCGTTGCTTCATTTGTATGAATAAGGTCCTCCTCGTCGAGTTTGACGCTTGCTGACTCACATGATTTACCATTAAATTGAATTTCCTCACTACATATATGTTGTTACAGTGACGAAGATATTCATTCATTTCAGTTAACTCGTGAATGGACTCGTCGTATCCTGGAGTTAATCGTTGAAGTATCTTTTCTTTTTCAATGAGAATTTGATTGGCCTTCTCCACAATATCTTGCACAGAAAGTTGGTGATTCTATGTAGAGGTTCTGAGACTTTCGTAAGTGCTATTGGATATTTAGATGATTGTATAAACTTATACAAAAGTGAGATATTGACCAAGGAAGTTGGAGAATCTCATTTATACCAAAAAGTAAGTTCAAATAGGAATAGGACGCAAAGCCCTTGTGGACCTCAACATATGGATTAATATATAGTCAAAGAGATGACATCAAAAAATTTAAAGTAAACAAGAAGAATGCGACAAAATCGGATTCTATTTCTTCTCTTTTTTACTTATTTTTAATCATCCTCCATTATTTGTAATTTTGAAGAAATGAAATACATGTTAGGATGGTAGATATCTCATATATGTTGTCTTCGATCTATTGAAGGATATACTGTATGTCATCAATTGCATACTCATTCTAAAAGTATAAAGATAAAGTTGTATGGCCATGGTGTTGTGTGATGTTGTCAGTGCTTTGAAATACCTATGACAATTCCAATTACTAGAATTTTGTCGTTGGCCTGGCTTGAAAATTAAATGAATTCGGTCTTATAAACAGAGATGAAATATGGTGGTAATCTCTGTCTCATGAAATATTTTCACAAAAATGGAAAATATAGTCTAAATAATTTTCTCAATAATTCATTTTATAGCGTGCAAAAGTATAATAGTACTATTGAAAAAAAGCAGAAGAAAACGGCTACAACTTCTCATAACTTGTCAGAGGGATGATTTATGTTGCTAATCCAATGTGTGATGATCTTGAGATTCATGCTAAATATACGGATGGCATTTTTAATATGCTTATCTCGCAGCCGAATAAATAACAAAAAAACAAAAAGCTATCATAACTATGTTAAAAAGATCATGGTTATTTTAAATTGAGGGATGATAAATATTTTTTACGGAAGAATCATATCTATAATTGAAACTTGATTTATTGTTTTGGGATCATGAGATTAAATAATATTTATATTTTTATAGTATTCTAAAATTGATGACCTTTTGTGAATTTGGTGTCTCTTGAGAGAGAAGCACAATCTATTATACCTTTTGTCCTAATTTATGTGATGCACATTTTATATATAGAAATAATATTACTTTTAAACTTTTTATTTCACCCTTAGTTAAAATAATTTATAGCCACACAGATATTTATGATTTATTTAAACCATAAGTTTCAAAAACAAATATTTCTTTTTAAACTCCATGCCCAGTTAAAATACATCACGTTTATTATGAAGGAAAGAATCATATTTAGCATTATACTTGAATTTAATATTTATATGTAAGATTTATATTATAGGTTAAAGATGAGCCACATATTTGTCTTGCCAATGCTACAAGTGAGTAAATATTAGTAATAATTTACTTTTCTTGTCAAAGATTGATAAGAAAAGCGAGAACATAAAGGAGTTTAATTATTCAAGATATACATGAACTTGAAGATATTGATGCGACGTAATTGAGGAACCAGATAAATCAGCCATGGTATTATTGAAGAGGACAAACAATTATCATACGACGATTTACACTTATCCTTACATAAACTGATACTTTATTTTTTCATGCATATTATTAACACAAAAGTTTTAATTATAATAATATGACATTATTTTATAAAATCATATACTATATGATCTGGTATACACGTGCAACGCATCTGGATATATATATATATATATAAGGTTTATACAAGGAACGGTTAGAAAATTATATATGTGTGTGTGTATTATGTAATCTGATGCTGATTAACTTTTTGTTTTGCATAAAATATAAGAGAATTAGATTACTTAAGATGAGGGCCTATGAATTTAACACGCAAAATCTCAAGAACTAAACCTGTAATAAATGTAGTTAGAGCCTTAATTAGGGGTCATTTGTTTTGGAATAAGGGATTATAATCTCGAAATAAATTCGGAATTAGCTTCTATCACATTTGGTAGAATTTCCTATTTTAGGAATAGTAATTTTGTTATACTAATTGTAATATTATTTTTATCTCACGCTTCATGTGGGATAATAATTTTGGGATTACTAATCCTTGGACTTGTTTATCCGTAAAATGGTATAGTTGAATTTGTATCGTGGTTTATAGATACGTAGATTAAATTGATCCGATAAAATAAAGTAAAGAATAGCAAAAGCGAATTAAATAAGAACAATTGAGGAAAATGCAAGCCTCTGCTTTAGAATGTTCCCATCGGAATTAACAATAAATGAAAATCTCAATAGCACTTGTATAAAGCTTGAGATAGAGAATACTAGTCTTTTTCTATTAGTATTTTCTTGATGTTTTACAATAGAATGAAAGCATCTATTTATACTAGAGTTATGAGGTGTATGATTTACCAATTGTTTACCAATATTAATGCTACAAAAAAGGTAATAAACGGCAATAAAGCCTAATAAAGACGGGAGGAATCTTGGGTTCTTCTGTAACATCTCTGCAACGGTCATATCTTGAATTGCTTCTTATCCGGCCACAGATTTATATCCGATGTCAATATCTTATCCGACTACATGTCTATATTCGGTGTGAACACAATTGAATCACTGCTGATTGACACACGTTGCTTTCTAATTCACCCATCTTCTGAGACCAATTTTTACCGTATACAAGACTAAACACCAAAATGATGCACTTGCTCTCCTCCAAAACTCTTATTGCAAAGTACTTTATGAAATTCAAGCTTAAAATTGAAAATAAAAAGTTATCCTACTTTATCTAGTTTAAACCAAAAGCATATTTTATATTATATTTCGTATATCTCATTTTTATTCTAATAAATTAAATATCTACTTATAATATAAAATATATCCATTAAATAATTTTATCATTATTAATCTTACTATTATAATCTCATCATTATTAATTCCGAAATAATTTATTCACCAATAAGGGAGGAGTCAGGGTGGGAGGTATAGATTCGATTGAACCCAATAACTTTTGTTCTAACCATTGAATATGTACAAAACATTAACTTAAAATGATTGCAACCTCGAACCCATAAGATTCAAATCGTGACTCTGCCTCAATTCAAAAATCAAACAAGGTAGCTCGCTTGGTATGAGGTCCCCACCTATATAATATCTCATTCCCTAAGTACTAAATAGTATAGTAATATATGTTTAATTTAAAAAAATAAGAACCTTAACAACTTGCCTCATTCTCAAACGTAAAAATTGCATGGGGGCGCCCTATTTGGCAGCCCCCATTTAACATATACCCATATTTTTAAAATTATTTAACCTATATCCTAATTTTTATAACTTCATATCAGTGGTCGTCTTCTCTTCTTCTTCTTACGACCTGTGCACTCATTTCTTCCTCCAATTCTTTTCCTCCTCTTTCTTCTTCTTTTTTCTCTCAAACACATGAGACTCTGTGTAATTATTATTGATTGAATATGAAATACACACTTTTGCGTTAAGTACGTTGTATGATGCCCATGTCGTGATCAAAGCCAAATTTTTCCTATGCGCATTGGAGGAGGCACTGAAACTCAGGGCAAGATTAAGAAAGAAATTGGTACGATGTATTGAGTTCGATTCTGTCCCACTTGGCGCCATTTTATCTATCTTTTCTTGAAGAAGAAGAAGAAGAAGAAACTAAGACCAATACTTTTGCTTGGAGAGAAAGAGATATGCTTTTAAAGAAGTGGTAGTGTTTGGGATATATAGAGGGATATGTGTGAAGCTATTTAAGGAAGAAGACACTGAATTTGTAATCCTTTGTATGATTATTTTGTAGTATTACAATAAGAAAATCAAGGAGTTTCCAAGGGATTAGAAAAATTCTTGATGTTTTATCTAATTTTGTTGTGTTCTTCAGCTAATTTTAAGTCTGAAGTTCTTTAGTGGGTCTGAAGTTTGCACTACAAACTAAATTCCGATCGCCTTAGCAATTCAGGCCAAACTTCAGGCGAAAATACATGAAATTTTGCTTTGATAAGGTCACACTTCAGACAAAAAATTCCGAAGTTCAAACTTGAGGCATAATTTTTTGCTATTTCTGGCCCTTATGTCTGAAGTTATCCGAAAAATGGATAGACTTATAATTTTTTGTGCAAAACGAGTATACATTCAATAGTGACCTTAAAACTGGGTATAAATACAAATACCCCTTCTCAAACGGTCAAACATGAGTGGGCCAATTTTCTCAACCTTCTTTATTACTGTAATGACTTACTTTGAATTTCAATAGCTTGCCCTATGAGTCTGTGACACACTAAAAATATTAGTATTAAAAAATCATGCTAAAAGTTGTCAAATTTTATGTATGAATATAAAAAAACAACTATCGAATAGTCAACTCGTACTTATTGATGAAGCAGTATTTAATTTATGTTAAATGAATAAAAAGAAAGACCCTTGGAAAAATCTTTCTCCTTACTTCAGGATTGTCCCTTTCCACACAATTTTCTTTGGGCCGAAGCAATCCTTTAATTAAACCAAAAAAGTCCAAAAACCCCAACTCATAATTAAAAAATAATCAGATTATTAGTATTAACGTAATCCATATCCTCGTCAGAAAGTCACACTTCTCACGCTCTGATTTTAAATTCCCCGAAACACCCTTCGGAGTTACAAACCCGTTACTCTCAAAGCCGACCTATACCCAAGGCTATTACCGTCATTTCTTGGTACCGTCTTCTCCAATCAACAGTTGTATAAATATCGGGGCGGCAAAGAAATTTAGTTCCAGAAGTTCTTGTTCGTTTGACAGCGTGCTTACTTTTACAGAGCTTCTCAAAGATATTTTTGTTTGTACAGTTTCGAATCTCATCTCCTTGCCATGGATTTCAACTGCAATGTTTTGAAGTTTATGATGATGAAAACTCCGGCTGATTCCATTCCTCCGTTGAAAATCGCCGGCGATCAAAACAACGTCGTTTCACCGGTTATCGATGGAAACAAACTGAAAATTCATGTTCCTGTTCCGAGGAAAATTGTTGGCGGCGAGGACGATGTGGTAGATAAGAAGAAAGTGAAAATTGAGGTTCCTATTCCGAGGGAATTGTTATTTCCATCCGCTGAGACGGCGTCGTGTACTGATCATGCGCAGTTATTGGTTCAGAACTATGGGAATTTCAAAAAGAGTGGGAAGCCGGTGAGGTTTATGTTCTATAAGGATGGATCGTGGGTGAATTTCGAGAAAAACGTGATGGATGTGATGGTATCAGGTTTCGTGAGTGGCAAGCCTATGATTGATGTGGAAATGGAAGGGTTAAAATGTCTTTTTGATTTTTATCGCATGTTAGAGATTGACTTGGACACTGGGAAAGAGCGCTCTATTTCTTGGATTGATGTTAATGGTAAGTGCTTTTTCCCTAAAGTCTTCATTGATTCCAGTGAGAATTCAAATGATAAAAATCAGGAAATTGAAGCTTCGAATGTTAATGAAAAAATTTCCTCTGAGAATCTGAAGATTGAAATTGAGATAAGAATCTCAGATGACAACTCAGATAAAGAAGTTAACAATTCAGGAGAAGAGTTAAAGTTAGGAAAGAGAAAGAGGGGAAGTGAGGAGAATGAAGTGGAGAAGAAGGGAGAACGGAGTTCGTCCAATGCGAAAGAGCGGCGTGTTATTGCTGCTACTGAATTGCATTCACCAAGGTGGCCAAAGGCAAGGTCATTGAGGGAAGAGGAGAAAGGCTATCAGATGGTAAAGGGTTTACTGTTGTCGGGTTTGAGGACTGTGGACCCTGGTGTTACAGTCACTTCGATTCATCAGTGTGTTAGAACTGGTCCATTGGAAAAGGCTCGTCTTGAGGTTTTCCACACAAATATGGAGATCATAAAGAGAGCTAGAGGGGGGAACCTTAATGTTGTATATGCTTGGTATGGGACATCAGCCAAGAACGTGGAGATCATTCTGCGTCATGGCTTTGGAATGCCTAGCGTGGTACATGGTTCTAATGCTCATGGCCTTGGTGTGTACTTGTCGCCCTTACGCCAACCTCAAAATAGGTATGCCGTTCTTTAACTAGTTCATTTTTGTGTTCTCGTAATTGCACGTGTTCTTTTTTTTTTTTTACTTGTTATTGATTGTGTGTGTAGTGCAATGATGTCTGAGGTAGATGAATATGGTGAAAAGCATATCGTACTGTGTCGGGTTATATTGGGAAAGCTTGAAAAGGTTGAGTTAGGATCTCAACAGCGGTATCCTTCTAGTGTGGATTTTGATACTGGGGTTGATGATTTGACAAACCCGAAGTGGTATGTGGTGTGGTCTGCAAATATGAACACCCACATTCTTCCCGAATGCATAGTTAGCTACAAATCTGGACGTCATAAGTCAGGTAAATGTTGCTCCTCTCTGTCATTCAATCTGTTTCAATCACTCTTGAATTTTGGAAAGAGAAATGGAAACACTTATGTGCCCATATAGGTCAAGCAAATGGTGCTTCATCCATGAAGTGGGCTCCTCATGCTTCAAATGCAATGGGTACATTAATATCCAAGCTAAGTACTTTGCTTCCACCTCCGAAAGTGCAGGAGTTGCAAAGTTTGTATGGCTCCTACCGGGTAAGTTGCATTGGATTTTCTAACACTGCACATTCGATATGATTTGTTATACGCAGGGTGATGAATCTGGTGTAACATCTTTATGTTGTGTTTTGACTACTCTTAACTTCTCTTCTCCTACAAATTGTTTACAGGAAGGCAAATTAGGGAAAGAAGTTTTCATGAGACAGTTACGATCAGTTGCTGGAGATGAGTTGTTGCGTTCGACTATTCTGGAAATTCGTGGCTGAGATGAGGTTCTTTTAGTGTTTAATTTTTGTCGTGAGAATATGGGATGTGTTCTCATTGATAATTCCGTTTTTATACAACAAAAGTGTAATGTTACCTTTTACAGAGGGAAGCCTCATTAGTAGGAAGCAGGATACACCTTAGGTTATAGACTTACATTTTGTTTTTGTTGTACCTTTTCTAAAGGTTGTTGTGGTGATGTTACTAAAGAGCTTGGACGGTTTTGTCTTTCAGTGGAAGTAGAATCCAGTTCAAATGACAACGTTTTTTTTTCCCATATCCGGTTTCTGTCTTTGTGTTTGCATGTGAAATATTGTTTGGGAATTGTGCAGCGCTAGTGTACAACTCTAAATTGCTTGCCTTATGTTCTGAAGCTTGAATACTGCTTCATGCAGTTATGACTAGATATGGTTTATCTTAAAGCTTTTTATTTGTGTCTGTTGTTCATGTTCTTTGGATATTATGCCAATCTCTTTTGGGTCCATATTTTCACTTTTTTTCTTCTTAAAATCTACATTGACTTGGAAGAGTTTAGAAATGTATATTTGTTCATTTTGTAGAATTCCTCAGAACTAGCTGCTTAAGTTGATTATTGATATTTTACGTGCTCCTTCTGGTTACTTGATTAGGATCTTACTTTACTCTTCATGATGCATGTATATACTGTTTCATGTGAGAAGTTTCTTTTGGTAGTAACCATTCCAATTTCCTAAAGCTAGTGGCTGAGTTCTCTATGGAAGTGCCTGTTTTTGAGATGTGACAAGAATGGCAGCCTACGTTAGCAGATAATTGAATACTTGGCCATATGGACCTTGCTTCGCATAATGCATGTAGACTATCTGTTGCAAAAGTTTCCCTTCAATAGTAAGAATTCAGGGTTGAGTATAAAGCTACAGGCATTGTATGCAACTGCCCACCTTCGAGTAGTGACGAGGGTAGCAGCCTATATTGATGTATTACCCAACCTATATTAACGTATAATTGGTCGAGTATGGAATGATTGTCAGGTAGTGGTAAAGAACCAATTGCAGTGATCTTGTGAAATGTAACTTAGCATTCTGGTGAGTCGACGCATTTATGACGTATTCATGTCTACTATTTAAAGATATGTTGTATGTCCTTGTGTGCATGCCTTTTTTCTCCTTGAACTAAAATTATGTTTAGATCTTTGGATTTCATTGGAGAAGAAGCACCAGTAATCTTCTTGCAGTGGCTGGTTTCCTGCTAAATGCTGTCTGTATTTTATGCCACAGGTTGGAGGATACATGCCTTGCCTATTCTTAAGATGAAATAATTCTTATTACCAGTTAGAGGTCCTTGCATAGTCATAATAAAGTAAAAATATATGTGGAGACATTTAAGCAAATTTTGATGGTTGACTTGGCTAAACTGGAAGTAGTAAGTCTCGTGATCAGAGTTATTGCTTGTGGTTTAGAAACAAATGTGTGCTATGACATGATGGAAGTGAGATAGTATATGGGACAGTTAGCTGCTTTGCTTTTGTGCTTGTGTTACTTCTCAAAAGAGATGGCTATGTTACCTTTGCATGAAGAAGTTGTTTTTGCATGTCTAGGTGGTGTATTTTAGGTTTTGACGCTGACTCTTTTACCTTTTCTGTAAATGGAATTAATTTTACTTATCTATCTGTTTTTAATGTAAGAGCAGAAGTTACTTACTGAATTATGTCGAATACAAGACCTCTTACCATATGATTGGAGAGTTTTTTTTTTTTTATTTAAAATTTTCACCAAGTACTGTTATGGATAAAGCGGCTAATGACTGGCAATAATGTGTGTGTAAATGTTGTTAGCACATGGGGTTATTATGCTTTTCATTCCACGTTATTGTGTTCCATGGATAAGTTTTTGAATGTTGATATTTATCTATGCCATCCAGCAACTACATGTTGCTGCAGTTGGGATTTGACAGTGTGGACTTTTTCTTCATTTAGTGGGTATCATATTTTTGGGTTGGTGAATGCTTTAAACTTTAAAGATGCTTAACTAGGTTAATAAGCAGACTGTAGAGGGCATGACTGGTAGTTGGGAACATGAAGTGCATTAAATGCGAGTTTCACCCTTCCTTTGATGGCCAACCAGGGTCGACTTTATTCATGAACTGGCGAACTGAACAAAGATCTGTGTCGGGTTAGGGTTTAACTTTTATTTTGTAAGTCAGGAAGTCATCAAATTTCACAAGCAAGAAGAGATAAAATGTGGTGCTTTAAGTCAGTTTTCAAAGAGTCCGGCAGCCTCATTGGCAAAAATCCATTTCTTACTGTCGCGTGATTTGGATTATGACTTCTTTAGACTTTCTGTTATCTCTCTATTTTTAGCATCTGTTTATGTTTCTTCTTACTAAAGTTCAGTTGGCAAGGGAAGTAATGGCCAACTTAGGTTTCTGTTTGAAGATTTTCTGCCAAAACTAGTCATGTAGTCTAAGAAAGTTATAATTTCTTTTAGTTGCTTATATTCACTGGAACATTTAGCAGTGTTTGTCTGTTCAGTTACTGACGGCATGTGTCTTATCTGTTTTGTTTTCTCTGGAACCTTTGCCTGTAAGTTAGGACCAACACCAGGGATATTCATTCTTTTTTTTTTTTTAGAAGTACCACTAACTGTTGGTCGGGGAGGGGGTGGTTAGGCCTTGACTCCTACCTGTAGTATTTATCACCAAAAGTGCAAGAAGATGGATATAAAATCTGTACAACAGAAGAAATGGACATGATCTTTTCTATATACATGTGATTAGCCTAAGCTTCGCCTCATCACAAGGTTCAAGAGTGTTTCATGACTGTTGTGTGCTCTGACTTTGAGTCTCCTCTTTTTCTTAATCTTAATTTAAGCAATTAATTTAATGGTGTCGTTCCTGGCTTTTCCTTGAGTTGGTATTCTCATAAACACGCACCTCGTTGCTTAAACTTCCCTACTAATAAAACAATTACCACAAAAGTATTGTGGCAAGTTAAATAACATGAATGTGTATGACATAGACTTGCTTGGTCAATTTATTGCGATTCATTTGAAGTTATGAGTTCCATTAGAGTTATCTTTATCAAGATGAGAGGAAGTTTCTCATCCTCGGTGATTTGGAGTATTAAGACGGTCAGGAACGCGAAATTGTGCAGACCCGTAAGGTATCCAGATGTATTTGTTGATTATTACTTATCACTATATCATAATCACATCAGTTGTTTGTGAAGCTTTAAGTTACTTACTGACAATTTTAATCAAATATTAGCTTTTAATACATTACAGTACACTACAGAATGTGATTTCCTGAATCTAAATGCCAATTACATACTGTTGTAGATAGATCTTTCAAATGGTTATAGGCTGTCTTCTGCTCTCATCGATGTTATCTTAGCTTTTTAATTATAGAAAGGAATAATGTAAAGCTACCTTATAACATTTTCTTACTGTGTTTTGTCTCTCCTTTGTAATGGTTTAGTGGCTTTTTAAGGGCCACAATCTTCTTGGACTTGGATTCCTCATGTTATGGTACCCATGGTATCATCTTTATTCCTTTTTTTTTTCCGTAAACGCACGCTGTTACTTAAACTTCCCTACCCATAATAATTGCCACAGTTAAACAACATGAAATGTGGATATTATTATACTGAATGCTAATTTGCTGTATATCAATTGTTTGCGACTTGTATGAAGTGCTGAGAATCGTAAGGAATTTGTTGGTGTTGATATGGAAGAAATTATGTCTTTGGTATGTTTCTCATCCTGTGTAGTTCGGACTAATAAGTGGTGACAGTTGGACTCATGAACACAACATCGTGGAGACTCATCAGTTGTCCAGATTTATCCAGGAGCAATAACTGTCTCATGGTCACAACAGTTGTTTGTCAAGTATTAATCACATGTGATAACTGTGATCAGATCTTAGCTGTTAATAAATGTGATCAGATCTTAGCTGTTAATAGATCACAGTATATTACAGAATCTGATTACATGATAGAAGAATAGAAAACGGGAATCTGATTAAGTGAATCTTACTCCTCATTAGATACTCTCTTCAGTGATACCTTAGCTTATGATTTATATCTTACAACAGTTTTTCCTGACAGTATCTTGCCTCTCCTTGTGCATTGGTGTTACTGGCGTTCCTTTAGGCCAACGGTCCTTTTGGACTTGGTGCTTCATGTGATGGTGCTCATGGTATCAGCAATTGTTTTTCTGTTTAGTAAGCGGTTTCACTTCTCTTAGAGGTGTCTTCTGTTCTAATCAGTTTTACAGTTCATTATGTCATTGTTATATCAGAAGTGGAAAAGAGAAGAGCTCACATTCTTCTTTGACTGTTATGTCATCTCTTGTCACTTACATTACTGCTTAAATAAACTTCTTTTCAGGGGTAAGGTTTTTGTGGACCCAAGTTCTTCACGTACTAAGGTACTCCGGTATAAGCACCTGACAGTCGAGTGTAAGTATGGGGCGTTCTTTTGCAAACAATATCAGTTACAAAGTTGGCTCTCAGCCTGTGAAGGAGATTTATCCAGATCTATTCAACCTCACAAGCACCTGATGCAACTATTCATGAGACTTGGGGGCAGCAGGGTTGGAATATAAACTTCAGAAGATTACTAAATGACTGGGGAGATTAATAGGATTGCTAAGCTTTTCCAGGTACTGGAACAATTTATTCAAGGAACAACAGCTAATGAAGATAGATTAGATTGGAAGCATAGAAGATGTAAATCATTTACTAGACTTTATTGGATCCTTGTAAGAATATCAAGCCACTTTTGGGTTTTGCCTTAATTGTAAATATGGTTCCCAGCAGTGTCTTTTTTTTTTTTTTNTCTCGAATCACGTCACATCAATGCACCCGTGGTTGTTGACACATTTCAACTCTGTTGAGATTTGGATTTGGGTCACATAAATGTGCACCCGAATTTAAGAAGATAACATTATTAAATGCGCGCCTAAAGCGACTAGCGTATCATTATTTTGGGTAGGGCCGTAAAATTTTGCTAAACGGTCCATCCCGAAGTCTAAGTAATTTTACCAACACGTATAGAGGGCCCCACAGCTTGTGTATTTTTGTTTGTCGATGTTCGTCTCATTCATTATTTTTAAAAGGAATTTGTAACGTCGTGGAAATGCATCTCGAACCACGTCATAATCAATGCACCCGTGGTTATTGACATATTTCGACTCCGTTGAGATTCGGATTTGGGTCACGTAAATGTGCACCCGAGTTTAGGGAGGTAATGTTATTAAAAGCGCGCTTAAAGTGACTAACGCGTTATTATGTTGGGGAAGGTCATGAAATTTGCTAAACGGCTCATCCCGAATTCTATATATTCATTATAACGATTTAAGAGGACCGCACAATTTATGCATTTGTTTTGATCGGCGAGGCCCATCTCATGTGTTTTTAAGAGGGCAAACCTAAAAGCAACTATGATTCTCTACTTTATTCGTCTTTTAAAAAAAATCCTAATTTATTCACTGAGATTATCCAGATTATTCAAACGTGCTTAACAATTAGAATCGAGGAGAAGTTGTATTTACTTATTAGAAATTAATGAAATAGTGATTCCTAGAATCCTAGTTTAAGACTCAGAATACTTATGTATTAGATACTGGAAACACGATCGTGAAAACCCGGTTATTTTTAGGTTGATCAGAACTAATATTACTAATTGGCATTAATGAACATGCTATTGAAATAGAGAACACGATTATCATATGGATTCAACTTATGCTACCTAAATCAAATTGACCAACTTATTGACCAAAACTTAACAGACTTGACCATTGCTTCACTGACTTATACTCAAACACTAATATTAATTTGGGAGGGCCATTTGAGTTCACATGCCAATCAAAATAAAAGAAACTTACTCATGAGAAATGGTTTAAGCCCTGAACTAATATTAACCGTTATGTCAAAATTCCAACTAGTGAAGCACGTTTGGCTTAGAAATGAATTTGATGTGGTCAGTGCCTCCTGTTTTCAACTTGGTTGTAATTTTAAACTGTTTTTGGTTCTTAAATTTTAAACAGCCAAATGTTCAACTAAATAAATACTAACCATACTAAGTCTAAAGCTAGAATAACCATAAATCAACAGTCCAGCAGCCTACATAATTCAACTTAATCAGTCCAGTTATACACCCTAATTAATTACAGCATACAGCAAACCAAACTACATAAGTTATATAAAAACATAATGAAATTATGAGGACAACAGATTTACGGCAAAAAACTTCAGTTTCATTTTCGTTATTCCGACAGGAGACGATACATTGAAACAGTCTGAGATATGTACCTGGAAATCGAATCAAATAGAAAAGGAGAGGTCAGCAGCAAGTAGTCAACTGGTATTCAACAATCAACAAGCAGCAGTAACGGGCAGAAATCAACAACAGCCCAGAGCTTAACTCGACCAAACCAGGAATAGTATGAACCCAGTAGAAACCAAAAAAAAGAACACCCAAACACAACCTTGACCAAACCAACTGGTATTGAATTTTGATTCAAACAAACAGATCCAAACCTATAAACGACTCCAAGTATAGAGCAGAAGTAAAAGGAAGAAAGGTTCTAGCTATTTCAGATCCTAAGCGAGGCAATGAAACAGTAGCTATTCTTTTTCAACTCCCAAAACTCTCCAAAATGAATTCTGCCCCTGTATATCCAGTGTATCCAGAGTGTATATCAAGTGTATACTGCTCTCTCCGCCCCCTTTTGTTTCTTCTCCTCTCCGAATTTCCTAGCCTTATACCCTCTTTTAATGTTCTCCCTCTCTCAGAATCTCTTCCAAGTTTTCTTAGCTCTCTGTCCCTGTATCTAGAGTGTATATCGAGTGTATACCGCTCTCTCCGCCCCCTCTTTTTTTTTTCTTTTCTAATCTGATTTTCAACTCCCTTAAATGGGCATTCAATTAGTGCATTTTCCACTACCAATTTAACTTTTTATTTCTTTAATCATCCACTTAATTGTCCACTCAATTAGTGCTTTTAGTTAATTTGATAATGCAAATACTACCCTACCACTATTAG